CCTCCCCCTTGGTTCCCGTCGGCCTCTCTTTCTTTCTTTCTTCTTCGTTTTTTTTGGTTGAGGATGGGAGGTCGGTTGCGTCTATCGGCCCGGATATTTCCTAAGTTTTGATGTTGTTTCCATTAGCTATTTGGGAATATGCTTTCTGTTTTATTTATTTTAATTTTTACTATTTTTAACTGTGATTTTTAAATTTATTTGCATTTGTCTTGGGATCATGGACTATGTGATACAGATTTTTGGAATTTGCTGAGATTTACTTTGTGACATAGTACATGCAACTGTTTCATGCAAATGTTTACAACTGTTTTATGCATTTTAAATTTTGGTCTTTTAAATTTTACATTCTTTTTTCATACTTAGTTCTACAGATGCACTTTTTAAGGGAATGTAAATGCTCCATCTGTTGGCTACTGGGTTCTCCTTATTTATTAAATGCAGCCTGTTAATTATGCAGTTCAAATCTATATCCTTACAAGTTTTTTTTTTTTTTTCCCTGCTTATTTTCTTTGTTTCTCAGAGGGGTACTTTAAATCTTTTCACTGTGATGGTAACTGATGTATCCATGTCCTCTCTAATTCAGTCAGCTTCTCCTTTACTTACAACAAGCTACGTTGTAACTGACGACATACAGCAAGCTCTGCTGTTGAGCTCATAGAAGGCCGTGAGTAGTATGTCTTCTTGGTGGTTCATACAGTCACTTCTACAATGTATCGTCAAAAATCTCTGCGCTGCACAAAACTGTGTAATAAAAACCACAGGGCTTAGAGGAAACGCGATGTTAAGGGGCATAACACTCAGACATGTTGCCAGTGGCACAAAAAAAGACAGTTGCCTAGCGAACTATGCCTAGTACACCTAACAAAATTTTTACTCATAGCCAATCCTATGGGGGCCCTTCTTGCTAAGGTCTAAAGGTAGTACCCTTACTAGATTTACTGTGTCTCCACTGTCTTCACAGAAACTCCTCATTCGTTCTTATTTTGACTAACTCATAGCAATACTGTGTAAGGCAGATGTAGACATTTTTGTTTTTCTTCTCTTCTTTAGTTTATACTTTTAATGGGTGTTACAATAGGGCAGTGAGTGGAAGAATTTATATATAAATCCCAAGAAATCTAGCATCACAGGATAATTGGCACCTTGAACCACAATTGGATAATAGAGCAAGAAACTATTAAAGCTAGTCATAGTTAGAGTAACAGAGGTTTAATTTCCATTGGAAACTTCAACTTATTTCAAAATAGAGCTATGCATGGTTTTGGCCTGGATTTGGGGCAGACCTAACAATTTGGAGGAAGAAATAAGAAGATACTCATCATACTTCCCTTTCACCTCTTCTAGCTATGTTCCGTGGAACCTGCATGAGCCAGAAAGAGGCAAATTTGACTTCTCTGGGAACCTGGACTTGGAGTAGGTGGTGTTGCTGCTTCTGTGACCTGGCCAGGGGCAGGGGCAGAGAGGTGGCTGGGAGGGACCTGGGTCTGGAGTCCTGTTCTAGGACTGCGAGAGGACCTGCACCCGGGACCTAGATACTCCCCAGTCGTGACCTGCTGGGCCTGCAGCCTTTGGGCCCCACTTCTCCACTGCAGCCCAGAGGGGCAGAAGACCCGGGAGCCGCCCGACTCTGCATGGGGTCCGGCTGCCTGGGCTGGGGCAGGGCGGCTCCTCTAGGCTAACAAGGCTGTTGGGTCAGGTTCACTGTTAAGACCCCTGTGCCCTGGCTGTCACCCTTCCTCCTCAGGCCCCCAATGGGGCTGTGCAGAGGCTCTGAGGCTGGGAGCAGCTCAGGCCACCGACTTAGTGTGGGAGTCTCCGCTGTTTGCGGGTGGGGCCGAGCTGTCCCTTCACCCCACCGGGCAGCTCCTCCACCCTGTGACGTGTGTGGCCCCCACCCGGCCTCATCCTGGGCCGTCATGGGAGGGGCTGACGATGTGGACCTCCCTAGGGCCTTCGTCCTGATGGCTGCGGAGATCGGGCTGTGGGTGATTCTGCGTCCAGGCCCCTACATCTGCAGTGAGATGGACCTCGGGGGCTTGCCCAGGTAAGCAGGGCTGCAATCCCAGAGTTGTGGTTCTAACGAAGTATTTGGTTTCGTGAATTTCAATCTAGTAACAAGGAAAGTAACTTTATTCACGGAGCTGATGAGGGGTGTGCCGCCCCAAGCCACACACCGCACCTGCGTTGTCTGTGAAGCCTGCCCTACTGCGGTCAAGAGGGTGTGCGCGGGGAGAGGTGGTCACAAGAGGCTCCCACTCTTCTTTCCCCACACAGGAGGGGCTGTGGCCCCCTCTGTCCTTCTCAAAATGCCCTGGGAAGAAAGGGACCGGAAGCTTTAAGGCCTGCAAGGGAAGGTTCTGACGACTCTGGGCTTGTTTTGAAAACTTCTGATCTTTCGCTTATTTTGTGAGGGGAGGGCTGCCTTTCCATGCAGTGAGACCACCCTCAGCTCCCCTCCCTTCCCTCTTGCTTTTCTTTGCCTTGTTCTCGCCTCTGTGATTCTGGCCCCCAGCCCAGACTGCTGAGGGTCAGGGTGAGACTCCAAGACTGCTGTCTGCTACCCCTGTGGTGGGCAGGGCTTCCTGGGGAATCTGGGGCTCTGCCTCCGGTGAGCACCTCTGCACCTCAGGGTCAGATGAGGCCATTGTTTTCTCTAGGGGCAGAGAAAGCCTGAGCTGAGGGGAGTGGAGTTTTCGGGAATCAGTGACTCCCGGCATAGCTTGACTGGAGGCCTGCCTGGCACTTCCCCAGTGACCTGGAGAAGGCAGAGTGTCATTGGCACGTAGGCTCCTGCCCTGAGCCTGAAGCCTTAGCTCTTAGTGGAAATGTGACAGTGTGCCTAAGGAAACTTTTCTGTCCCCAAGAATTTTTTTTTTTTTGAGATGGAGTCTTGCTCTTGTCACCCAGGCTGGAGTTCAGTGGTGCGATCTCGGCTCACTGCAACCTCCACCTCCTGGGTTCAAGCGATTCTCCTGCCTCAGCCTCCTGAGTAGCTGGGATTACAGGCGCCTGCCACTACACCCGGCTAATTTTTGAACTTTTAGTAGAGACAGGGGTTTCGCCATGTTGGCCAGACTGGTCTCGAACTCCCGACCTCAGGTGATCCACCCGCCTTGGCCTCCCAGAGTGCTAGCCACCACGCCCGACCGAAAAATGTTTTCAATAAACTGAAAAAGAATGGAGAGTGTTCAACAAAAGGCAGAAGAAAAAGCTCTTTAAGACATGACTGTAAGAGACTTGACAGGCCAGACCCTCAGTCAGACCAAATGGAGCTGAAGGCACTTCTGAAGTTGCGAAGTGCTTTGGAGGTGGAGGCGGGTGTTTGCTTTCAAATCCCAAAAGTCAATGAGAATGGTCTGAAAGTCTCACGAGGCACAGATCTTTCCAGGACCCCTGAGTGCTCCAGGACCACGGGTGTGAGGCAGCTGGGCAGACGTGCTGGGCGAGCTGGGGCAGCTCTGAGCCCTCTCCTCCTTCCCTCTCCCATCCTGTCTCAGACCCTGAGCCTGCCCCTCTCTCCCCCAGCTGGCTCCTGCAAGACCCCCGGTTACTGTTGAGGACAACCAACAAGGGCTTCACTGAAGCAGTTGAGAAGTATTTTGACCACCTGATTCCCAGAGTGATTCCTCTCCAGGTAAAGCCAAATTATCTTCTGCATCTTTCTTACATGCATTTTCCTGATCGGGCAGTGGAAGGTCGTGGGACCCACATACAAGTGGTGGCATAACCCTAAGGCAGGAGGGAGGTGGGAATATGGATGGGATTGGCGGGGAAGCAGATGCATTTGTAGGTTTGAGGGCTCAAGTTTAAGTAGCTAGTGTGAGAAACAGGGAAAACTGTGGCAGTTACGTGTCTGCAATGCACTGGGGATGGTGGCTCCCACAGCAGCCAAATGACCCAGCAGACTAACTCCAGTGCTGGAACAGAGCGCGCAGACCGCGGGGGCCGTGGATCAGAGCCTGCCACACCAGCTGTGCAGCCTTCAGCAGCAAGCCCAGAGACTCCAGGCTTTTGCCCCAAATAGCCTCACTCTTTAACCCTCCTCTGCTTGTCTCTCAGTACCGCCAGGGAGGCCCTGTCATCGCGGTGCAAGTGGAGAATGAATATGGCTCATTCAATAAAGATAAAACCTACATGCCGTATCTCCACAAGGTAAGAGGGCCTTGGTTTGGCCCCATGTTTACATGCCTCCTTCCTCCATCTGTCTCTTTTCTGGTGTGCTTTTCTGATTCCTGGATGCATGGGTGATCCGGCTGGGCACTGTGCATTCTGAGAATACTGGCCTGTGCACACGAGGTGCTGAGGGGTGCTGGCCCACTGCGTGGCTGAAAGTTTGCATATAACTTTTGACTCCCTCAAAATGTAGTCACTAATAGCCTACTGTTGACTGGAAGCCTTACCGATAATAAACAGTTGATTAATGCAGGTTTTGTATATCTATTATACACTGTATTCTTACAATAAAGTAAGCTTCAGAAAAGAAAATGTTACTAAGGAAATAATAAGTAAGAAAATATATTGACTTCTCATTAAGCAGAAATGGATCATGGTAAAGGTCTTTATCCTCATCATCTTCATGTTAAGCAGGCTGAGGGGGAGGAAGAGGTGGAGGAGGTGGCAGGGGAGGCAGGGGAGTTAACTTGTATTGAAAAAATTCCGAGGATAAGTGGATCCACACAGTTCAAACCTGTGTTGTTCAAGGTTCAACTGTAGATCAAGTTCATTTTCTCTGTGAATGCACAGCAGTCAGGACAATCACTATGTACTTAAATAACTTTATTAGAAGACAGAACGTGGCGTTAAAGGGCTATTCCTTTCTGCTTCCTATCTCTGTGACCCACGGTTCTCATTAAAGCTGGGGTTGGTGAATCTTCCTCCACTGTAAATAACGCTTCAAGAACTTAGTGATGTGACTCTCAGCTTGAAGCTTTCTGGCCTGTAAGACAAACGTCATCTCTTCTGTCCCCCTTGCTGCTTCATGGAGGGACGTCTCAGGCCAGGGAATAACTGCAGTTCTGCCTGCTGTCCTTCCTGGTGGCTCAGCCGCTGCTGGCCCCTGACTTCCCACATTCAGGAAGCTGATGAGAGTTCAGTCTCAACTGAACCCCTCCTTGGGCTGCCAAGCAGGGTGCAGGGCTGCACAGTGGGCCTGAGCCGTCCTGACTCCACCCTTGCCTCTGCAGCAGTGCCTGCACGGAGACCTGTCTGGAGGCTGGGAGGGGAAGAGGAGGGGTCCCCAGCTGGGCAAAGTGGGGAGGAGGGTGGGGCTGGACTTCATCCACATGCTGGCTCTCGCCCTGCAGCTGTGGCTTCTGGAGTTGGACAAGGTCAGAGGGTAATTTCCCTCCCTAACTTTTCCCAGGGGCTGCATGGCTGCCCTGAATCAGTTGTATTCAGCCAGCAATTTTTGTTCTTGATTTTAAAATTTACTGGCTGGGCTCCGTGGCTCACGCATACAATCCAGTACTTTGGGAAGCTGCTGCGGGCGGATCACCTGAGGTCAGGAGTTTGAGACCAGCCTGGCCAGTGTGGCAAAACCCTGTCTCTACTAAAAATGCAAAAATTAGCTGGGCGTTGTAGTGCCTGCCTGTAATCCCAGCTACTCGGGAAGCTGAGGCGGGAAAATCACTTGAACCTGTGAGATGGAGTTTGCAGTGAGCCGAGATTGTGCCACTGGACTCCAGCCTGGGCGACAGAGTGAGACTCGTCTAAAAAAAAAAAAAAGAAAAAAAAAAGAAAAAAAAATTACCATTCAACTCCAATCCCAGGCCCAGATGTGGCTCAATGAACACAGGAGACGCACAGCCGGGCCCTGGCTATCTGGCCTCGTAACCATGGTTTTTCGGATGAGATCTCCCCATCCCTGCAGCCATGGCAAGCTTCCTTGTTCTCCTTGACAGTGTTGGGCAGCACCTGAGCTTGGTGAAGTCCCTGATGGTTCTCAGGACCCCACAGCTGCAGCCTCTCCCCTTCCAGCACAGAGTGATTCTCTAGTCGTCTTCCTCCTCTTTCAGTGACTTAGATCCTCTTCCAGGGCATTTCCTGGTAAACTCAGCCCACTGTTCCTGGAGGCTTTGGTTATGGGGTGTCAGAACCCACACTCGACCGATTTTAGGGTCATTCCCCACAAAAATCACCAGGCTGAGACAGACAGTGATTTCCCCGAATTTACTAAGTTGCAGAAGGTCAGACTCTGAATTCAAACCCTTGTCTAGCTCACATCTCACCCAACTGAACCATGCTCTGTTTCGTTTCCAATTTCCTCATGTAGTCGTCCCTTGGCATCCATGGAGGATTGATTCCAGGGCCCCCATGGACACGAAATTGGTCGGTGTTCAAGTCCTTGACATAAAATGGTGTGGCATTTCCATGCAACCTATGCACATCCTCCTATATGCTTTTTTTTTTTTTTTCTGAGACAGTTTTACTCTGTCACCTAGGCTGGTATGATCTCGGCTCATTACAACTTCCGCCTCTGGTTTCAAGCAATTCTTGTGAAAGTAGCTGGAATTACAGGTATGCACCACCACACCTGGCTAATTAGAGACAGGGTTTCACCATATTGGCCAAGCTGGTCTTAAACTCTTGACCTCAAGTGATCTGCCTGCCTCAACCTCCCAAACTGCTGGCATGAGCCACTGTGCCTGGCCTCTCCCATATACTTTAACTTATCTCTAGATTACTTCTAATACCCAATACAATGTAAATGCTACATAAATAGTTGCTATATATTACTCTTTAGGAAATAATGATTGGAAAAATGCCTGTACATGTTCAGTACAGATGCAACTAAGAAATATATTTTTGGCCAGGTGTGGTGGCTCAGACCTGTAATTTGAGTACTTTGGGAGTCCAAAGCAGGAGGCTCACTTCAGGCCAGGAGTTTCAGACCAGGCTGGGCAACATAGTGAGACCCTGTTTCTATAAAAGAAAAAAAATTAGCTGGATATGGTGGCGTGTGTCTGTAGTCCCAGCTACTCAGGAGACTGAGGGGGTAAGATGGCTGGAATCGAGGAGTTTGAGGTTATAGTGAGCTATCATCATGCCACTGCACTCCAGCCTGGAGAAACACAGCAAGATCCTGTATTGGGGGAAACCCCACCCCCGATAGTCAACGTGGGTTATTTTCTATTTCCCTAAGCATTGGCTGGTCTGAGAAATAAAGGGAAAGAGCACAAAAGAGAGAAATTTAAAAGCTGGGTGTCTGGGGAAGACATCCCATGTCGGCAGGTTCCGTGATGCTCCCTGAGCGGTAAAACCAGCAAGTTTTTATTAGCGATTTTCAAAAGGGGAGGGAGTATACGAATAGGGTGTGGGTCACAGAGATCACATGCTTCACAAGGTAATAAAATATCACAAAGCAAGTGGAGGCAGGGCGAGATCACAGGACCACAAGATGGGGTGAAATTAAAATTGCTAATGAAGTTTCAGGCACCCATTGTCATTGATAACATCTTACCAGGAGACAGGGTTTGAGAGCAGACAACCTGTCTGACCAAAATTTATTAGGTGGGAATTTCCTCATCCTAATGAGCCTGGGAGCGCTACAGGAGACCGGGGCTTATTTCATCCCTTTGGCTTTGACCATAAAAGATGGCCGGCTCCACGTGGGCCGTTCATAGGCCTACCCTCAGGGGCCATTCTCTTTCTCGGAGATGTTCCTTGCTGAGAAAAATAATTCAGCGATATTTCTCCTATTTGCTTTTGAAAGAAGAGAAATATGGCTCTGTTCCATCCAGTTCACCGGCAGTCAGAGTCCAAGGCCATCTCCCTTGTTCCCTGAACACTGCTGTTATCCTGTCCTTTTTTCAAGGTGCCCAGATTTCATATTGTTCAAACAAACATGCTCTATAAACAATTTGTGCAGTTAACGCAATCATCACAGGGTCCTGAGGCGACATACATCTTCTTCAGCTTACAAAGATGATGGGATTACGAGATTAAAGTAAAGACAGGCATAGGAAATCACAAGGGTGTTGACTGGTGAAGTGATAAGTGTCCATGAAATCTTCACAATTTATGTTCAGAGATTGCAGTAAAGACAGGCGTAAGAAATTATAAAAGTATTAATTTGGGGAACTAATAAATGTTCATGAAATCTTCACAATTTATGTTCTTCTGCGGTGGCTTCAGCCGGTCCCTCCGTTCAGGGTCCCTGACTTCCCACAACAACCCTGTCTCTAAAAAAAAATTTTAAATTAAAAAAGTAAAAACATTTCTGACTGTGATTGCAGAATTCATGGATGCAGAACCCATGAGTATGGGGAGCTGTATGTCTGTCTTTTTTCGCAATGGAATGAGGGAATCGGGTTCATTTTGGTTAATTTTCTCAACAGGCTCTGCTGAGAAGAGGGATTGTGGAGCTTCTCTTGACCTCCGATGGTGAGAAAAATGTGCTGAGCGGCCACACCAAAGGAGGTACACATTTAGAGTTAGTTCACAGGAGAACAAGGCTTTCAGCTAGCCCGTGTAAATCTTGAACACACCTCAGAGAAAAACAAGTGCATCTTGATGCCTCCTTTTCCCGTGTCCACTGGGATGGATCTTGGAGTCTGATGTTATAATAAATGAGGACTCAAGGTCAAGGTTCAGGGCCGCTCACCAGCCCCCTCTCTTGGCCTTGCTCCTGCTGTCTTTAATCACAGCAGCACTGAAGCTCCTCTGTCCTCAGGACGCCTTTCCATCTCCCATAGTTTTTCTGTGGTAAGGAATCTGCATTAGTACTGGGCCTGGCTTGGGATCAGGGCCGTCTCCACTAACGTGGGAAACCACAGGGAGAACCAGAAGATGGGTGTTGTGTCAGGAACCCCGCCTAGACCCTGGCCCGTTCCTGGGATCCTACCGCCCAAGGCTCCGTGTGGACACTTAGGAGATCCTAGAGAATTAAGTGGCAGGAAGATTCAGGACGGACTCATCAGATGGCAATAGTGAGGGACACGCCCGGGTGTGAGCAGGCCGGTGGGGCGGGCTGCTGCCGGCGGCTGCCCTTCTGCCTCCTTAGCAGCGGCTTTTCCACCGAGCGTGGTACACTGGAACACGTGCTGAGCCTGGGGCCAGGACGCTGCGTTCCGTTTCCGGTCTAATCATGTCAGGGAGCCTTGGCCTGGCTCACTTTCCTGCACAGAGTGTAGCTAATGTTAACAATCAGTGTCCGTGCAAGTGTCAGGGATGTGGCGATGGCCATGGCAGCCCTTTGCATGTGGCAGAGTGCGATCCGGGCAGCGTCTCGCCAACCTCACTGCTGAGCCTGCGCTCCTCCTGCGTGCGTCGGGGCGGGGGCGGGGGGCGGGTTCTTTCCTTCCTCGTGCGTCGGGGCGGGGGGCGGGTTCCTTCCCTTTCCTGAAGGTGCTTGGCGCCGCCTCAGTCGGGCCTCTCTTCTTTATGCAGTGTTGGCCGCTATCAACTTGCAAAAAGTTCAGCGGAATACTTTCAACCAGCTTCATAAAGTCCAGGTAAGACATTTGAGACAGGCGGGTTTTACAGCTGCTCCTGCCGTGACCGCCCTCGCCTGGGTAACTGGTGTTCCGTGAAAACAGCTTTGACAAGAGCGCAGGTTTCCACCTGGGTCCTCGGCAGGTTCCAGGCCATGTGGGGAGCCTTTGGGGTGCGGAGGGAGGAGGGGAGCCGCGTGTTCACCTCCGCTTGTGGAGCACGTCACGGAGATGAGTGGGCAGGGCGAGGGGTGACGGACTCAGCGGGAGACGACGTTCCTGCCTTTGCCCTGTGAAGACGGAGCTGAGAGGGCCGTGCGCGTTGCTGATGGAGGCCTCCCAGGGAGTTCTCGTGGGGTTAGCCTGTCCCGCCACAGCATACACATCGTGGGAAGGGACGAGGGTTGTACCTGCGCTGATTTAACAGACGCGGATTGAGCGGCTCCCACCTTCCTCTCAGTGGGTGACCTCCCGTGACAGTTACAAAGAAGGACAAGCCACAGCCCAGCCTCGAGGAGTCCATCTGTCGTTTCTCTAGACTAGTTAGAGTGCGCGCTTCAAGACCAGGCCTGGTCACAGTCTCCTCTGCTTACCACCCCTTCCTGGTTGTCCTTTGTGCCCAGGATGCCATCCAACCCCCACGCCTTGGCCCACTGGGCCGCTGTGAGCCTCTGCCTCCGCTCCCAGCCCCACTACACCGCCCCTGAGGGCCTTCCTTCCATTCCCGCACACTGTGGCCCCCGGCCTAGCCAAAGACTGCAGCTCCAGAGCTCTGTCCCCAGCCTCCACATGTATTGTAAATAAGAGTCATGAACCTTATTTCGTTTTTTCATCAATTTCTTTTTTTTTGAGACAGAGTCTCACTCTTGTTGCCCAGGTTGGAGTGCAATGGCGTGATCTCGGTTCACTGCAACCTCCGCCTCCTTGGTTCAAGCGATTCTCCCGCCTCAGCCTCCCGGGTAGCTGGGATTACAGGCACCTGCCACCACACCTGGCTAATTTTTGTACTTTTTAGTAGAGATGGGGTTTCACCATGTTGGCCAGGTTGGTCTCAAACTCCTGACCTCAGGTGATCCACCCGCCTTGGCCTCCCAGAGTGCTGAGATTACAGGCTGAGCCACTGCGCCTGGATTTTCATCAATTTCTGTAGTTTCCAACTTGGTGAAAGGCAGGGGCCCTGCCAGAGCTCTGTGGATCTGTGGCTATCTCTAGTTTTTCAATACCTTTGCTAAGTTTTTTTCTTCCTTTTTGTTCTTTTTTTCTTGTCACTTTCTTTTAACAACTTAATTGAAATCTCATTTGTACATCATTAAATTCACCCATTGTAAGCATGTAATTCAACATACAGATTTCCACAACCGTCACCACAATCCATAATGTTCATTGCATTTAATGCTCGCTGCAGTTAATCCCGTCTCCAGCCCTGGGCAGCCACCAATCTGCTTTCTAGTTCTATAAATTTACCTTTTCTAGAATTTCACATAAGTGGGCTCATGCAGTATTTAGTCTTTTGCATCTGGCTTCTTTCATACAGGGTGGTGTGTTTTTGAGGTTTCTTTGAGGTCCATTTATGCATGTTGTAGCACGATTCAGTGCTTCATTTCCTTCGATAGCTGACTGGATTGTGCTTGGCTGTCATATATGTACAATCCTAGTCAAAACCAAAGGCCGTCCTGCTTTAGTGTGTTAATACGGTGACTGCGGTTTTTGCATGTTGAACCAGTCTTTCATTCCTGGAATGAATCTCATCTGATTGTGAGCTATTATCATTTTCTATTTTGCCAGATTCAGTTTATTCATATTTTTGTTGAGAATTTTCGCTTCCATGTTTATGAAGGACATTGGTCTTTGGTTTTCTTTTCTTAAAAGGTATTTGTTTGGTTTTAGAACTAGGATAATGCTGGCCCCATAAAATGAATTTGGAAGTATGCTCTCCTTTTCTGTTTTCTGGAACAGATAGTGTAGAATTATTAGTGTTTCTTAATGTTTGGTAACTTTCATTACTGAAACTACCTGGACCTGAAGTTTTCCTTTTTAGAAGAATTTTAACTTGCAGTTCAATTTCTCTAATAGATACAGGAAAATTTAAGTTATTTCTTCTTGAGTGAGTTGTAGTAGTTTATATCTTTCAAGGATTTGTTCTACTCATTTCATTCTATTCCATCTAAATTTTTGAATTCATGGGCATAGAGTTGTTTGTGATAATCCCTTGTTATCCTCTTGATGTGTTTGTTGTCATTAGTGATGACTCCTCTTTCAGTCCTAATATGGCTAATTTTGTGTATTTATTTTGGTTAGTTTGGCCAGAAGTTTATAATTTTTATTGATCTTTGCAGAGAATCAGCTTTTGGCTTGATTCTGATTCCCTGTTATTTTTGTGTCTTTAACTTCCTTGGTTTCTGCTCTGAACTTTGAGCATTTTGTCCCTTCTGCTGCCTTCGGATTGCATTTGTTCTTTCACTTGGTCTTTCTGGTGGAAATTTAGCTTACTGAGTTGGGAGTTTTCTTCTCTTCTAATATAAGCATTTATGCTATACATTTCTCTGTATGTACTAGTTTTGTTGCATCTCATCAATTTTGATGGGCTGTGTTTTCATTGAGTTCAAAACATCAAAACATTTTTAAAAATTTCCCTTGAGACTCTTTATTCCATGCATCAGTCGGGAGTGTGCTGTTTCATTTTTGAATCTTAGGGGATTTTCCAGCTAGTGTTCCATAATTGATTTCTAGTTTAATACTGTTAAGGCCCAAGAACATAGTTGTATAACTTCTGTTCTTTTACATTTGTTAAGGTTTGTTTCATGGATCATAATATGGTCATTCTTGGTGAATGTTCCATGTACATTTGAGAGTAATGTGTAGTTTACATCTATTTATAAATTCCCATCAGGTCAAGCTAATTGATGATATTGGCCAAGTAATCACTATCCTTACTGATTTTCTGCCTACTCATTCCATCAATTATTATGAGAGGAATGTTGACATCTCCAAATATAATCATAGATTGTTTATTTTTCCTTTAGGCCTATTAGTTATTGTCTCTGTTTTGAGGTGCATTCACATTTAGGATTATGATATTTTGTTGGAAGATTGGCTGCTGTATCATTATATAATGTCCTTCTCCCTTGTTCTGAACTCTATTTTGATGTAAATATAGCAACTAGCTTTCTTTTAATTAGTATTTGCATGGCATGTGTTTATCCTTTTGCTTTTTATATACCTTAAAATCTATATTTAAAATGGATTTCTTGTAGACATCGTATATTTACATATTGCTTTAAAAAATTCAGTTTGACAGTTGTTGTATTTTAAGATAATGTGGCTACATCATTCACACTTAAAGTAGTTATTGAGATGGTTTGATTGAAATTTACCTCTTTGCAAATTCTTTTCTTTGTACTTTGTTTCTTGTTCTTTTTTTCTCCCTTTTCTGGAGCTAATTGATAATTTTTTGATTCCATTTTATCTCTTCTGTAGACTTACTACTTATATCAGTTTAAAAAATTGTAGCTGTCGACTTAGAATTTAAAATATAGGCCAGGCACAATGGCTCACGCCTGTAATCCCAGCACTTTGGGAGGCTGAGGTAGGCAGATCATTTGAAGTCAAGAGTTTGAGACCAGCCTGACCAACATGGTGACACCCTGTCTCTACTAAAAAAATACAAAATTTAGCCAGGCGTGGTGGTGGGCACCTGTAGTCCCAGCTACTCAGGAGACTGAGGCAGGAGAATTGCTTAAACCTGGGAGGCAGAAGTTGCAGTGAGCTGAGTTCGTGCCATTGCACTCCAGCCTGGGCAATAGAAGGAGACTCCATCTCAAAAAAAAAAAAAAAAAAAAGAAAGAAATATATATATACATTTAAAAATTAACCTGAAACTACTAATCACACTAAGTGTAGATAGTATTAGGATTGTACAATAGTATCTTCATAATTCCCCACTTTAAAGATGTCTCTTCATTATTGTTTCTACTTCCATGGTTTCTGATGAGAAGTCAGTATTAATCCTTATCTTTTTTTTTTTGGTCTTTTTTCTTCTGGCTACCTTTAGAATTTTCTGTTTGTCTTTAGTTTTCAGAAGTTTCAGTGTAATATGCCTATATGTGGTTTGTTTCTTAAAATTTATCATGCTTGGTGTTCCAGGAGATTCTTGGATCGGTGGTTTGGTGAAATTTACCAAACATTAAGTAAGAAATAATAAAAATTCTACACAATATGTTCCAGAAAATAGAAAAGGGGGAGAGAATACTTCTTTTTTTTTTTTTTTTTTTTTTTTTTTGAGACGGAGTCTTGCTCTGTCGCCCAGGCTGGAGTGCAGTGGCCGGATCTCAGCTCACAGCAAGCTCCACCTCCCGGGTTTACGCCATTCTCCTGCCTCAGCCTCCCGAGTAGCTGGGACTACAGGCGCCCACCACCTCGCCCGGCTAGTTTTTTGTATTTTTTAGTAGAGACGGGGTTTCACCGTGTTAGCCAGGATGGTCTCGATCTCCTGACCTCGTGATCCGCCTGTCTCGGCCTCCCAAAGTGCTGGGATTACAGGCTTGAGCCACCGTGCCCGGCCGAGAATACTTCTAAACTCATTTTATGAGGTCAGCATTTTCCTAATTCCAAAATCAAATGAAAGCAACTAAAGAAAAGAAAACCAAAGACCAATTTCCCTTTTGAACATGGAAGCAAAAATTCTCAACAAAGGATAAGCAAATTGAATCCAGCAATATGTAAAATGATAATACATTACTGATATAGTTTGGCTGTGTCCCCACCCAAATCTCAACTTGAATTGTATCTCCTAGAATTCCCATGTGTTGTGGGAGAGACCCAGTGGGAGGTAATTGAATCATGAGGGCCGGTCTTTCCTGTGCTAGTCTCATGATAGTGAATAAGTCTCATGAGATCTGATGGGTGTATCAGGGGTTTCCACTTTTGCTTCTTTTTTATTTTCTCTTGCTGCTGCCATGTGATAAATGCCTTTCACCTCCTACCGTGATTCTGAGGTCTCCCCAGCCATGTGGAACTCTGTC